ACGGGCCGCCCCGAGACAACCCTCATTCGGTGATGTATTATTACTTAGACGATTACCGTGATTTAGTTTTTACTAATACGCCCGCCCTATAATCTGTAATGGTAGTTGTAAGAGTTTAGTAATCATAATCGAAGCTTTACTATCGCATTAGGGTTAGCCTGTCATGATAGTTTAAGTGTTTTTAAATAAAATGTTTTTTAATGTTTTTAAATAATAATAAATAAATAAAAATGAATAAAATAAAAGTTACAGTGCAGTGGAATAAGCATTATGGGACAAAATAAATCTACATTAGTGTAGGTTAGCGTCGAAATTTTAACGTTACTTAACGTCGATATTTTAAATTCTTTCTTTTCTATTCTTTCTTTTTCTATTCTACTGCAATGTGTTCACGTAGTAGTAGCAGCGAGTTTTCATATTGTGATATCAATAAGTTCCGAATTACGGCGTTTAGATGTAAGTTTACCATATTTAATTAAATCGATATTTGAAAAAAGGAGGAGGATATCAATTCGACTGTATTTTTTTGAATGTATGTTACGCGATAACTCCGGCGAACCGATTTTGATGATTCTTTTTTCTTGGAAAGAGGGTGCCTCAGTATTGTTTCCATTTAAATTTGAAGAAGATATTCCACCTCTAAGGGTGGCAAACTAGGGGACGAATCCGGTTTTGCGCACTTTCCGGCAACCGATTTCAATAAAACTTGGCAAATAGATGTAATTAAATTACACGAACTTTTGAGGTTGGTTTTTTGAGTATTCTGTACTGAGATTATCAGTTTACAAAATCGATTGAGGCCGTAAGTAACAGTTGTAACTTGGATACCCGCTTACATAAGCATGTAACATTACCCGCCTTTTGGATTCGGTGTAGCCGGGTATAAAACAGCCCAATGATTGTATTAATCGTATAGCCTCTCCAAACACCAATCTGAAACACTGGGTGATAATATATGAGAATAAATATTAGCCAACATATACAGGTATACGTTGTACCAATCCCAAAGTAACTAAATTGCTTGTGTTATGGAAATCGGAAACAACGACGGTACCATAAACATTCAGACCCAAGACAATATAGAAAAGTTGGTTTTTCTACATTGACCCGGTCGGGGATTGACCCGGTACCTCAGAGATAGCGACACCATGAAAACCGGTGTGCAAGCTACTCGACCACAGGGGTCGTCTAAAAGAGGAAGAAGAATTCTATCTGTTCGTAACATATTATAATCTCAGTACAGAATATTAAAAAACCGACTTCCAAAATCATTCATCCCCTAGTTTGCCACCCTTAGAGGCGGAATATTTTCTTCAAATTTAAATGGGACCACTCCTGAGGTCCACCCTCTTTCCAACAAAAAAGAATCATCAAAATTGATTCACATATAAAAACGAAGTTATCGCGTATACATACAAAAAAAGGCTTACAGTCAAATTGAGAAACTCCTCCTTTTTTGGAAGTCGGTTATAAATATAAAAAAGCGTCTATTCCCAGTAGTTCCATGTACTCAGTTCCACGTGGAAAAATTGTAACCTTAACGCCATGTTTATTCTCATTACTTCCATGTAAAAGTTTGTACGAATTGGAACTATAGTTAGCAATACGTTGGATTTTGCGCTGTGGTTGATTCAAAATTACTTTAAATTTTTTAAATTACAAAGATTTGAGAGTCACTGTTATTGCGTTTGTCACCCTGAGACATACGTTGCCAAATCCCATGTGCATGTAATTTCATCAGCACCCTTACCTTTGAAAACCACATTAATGCTCATGTTACTGCTTGGCGACAGAAGCAGGCTCTTTAATAAAGCGCTCTACTTGTACTAAAATATAATGTAGGTTAATTCTATAATATGCCGATAAAATCCTTGATCAGATTGACGACGTTTTAATCATAGGAGATTTTAACAAAGGATTGATAACATGGGCAACTGATTGTGATTCATTATATACTGTACCTTCCAACTTATGACATTTTCCAGAAATAACGTTTGGTCGAAAATTCATAACCTCGAAAGTAATTTTGAGTGGAAAATGTTTTTTCTTTTAAACCTTTTTTTTTTCTTGACGGGGGAAATCTTTATGGATACCCCTGAGCCCAGGGAGACTCAGGGGTTATGTGGGGACTCTCCCTCCAGACTGGAGGGCCTACCCCACTAAAACCCCCCCGGGTTTCAGTCTCGCCGGTTGAGTCGGCGCCGTGGGATCGGTGAACATTCGCCACGACGCCGCCCGGCCGCCCTAGCTTGCGCCAGGGCTCCCGCGCCAACGGAGGGGCGAGTCGGTTGTCCTCCGACCCGCCCCCCAGACGAGTGAGGCCGTGCAATGCAGGCTCCGGAGTCCCTGTCCAGAGCCCGCTGGCATCACTAGGGGGCACGCACCCGCTCCGCGGCCTCCTTTTGGGACATAACCTCTGCGCAAAAGGAGGCCACCGCCTCCTAGGACTCCTCGCTACCGAGCATGGCGGCAGCCACGCTTGGCAGCGAGAGGTCCTGCCCTACAGTCCCCGTCAGAGTGCGGCGTTGCCCATCCCACCGGCTGCACACCTCTAGGGTGTGCTGTGCGGTGTCATCCGCAGCGCCGCACTCCTGGCACGACGGGGACGGTTCCCTCCTCGCCACCTTGTGCAGGTAGTGACCGAAACACCCGTGCCCAGTCAGCACCTGCACAAGGTGGTACGACAGTGGCCCGTGGGACCGGTTTACCCACCCTACGAGGACAGGGCGGATCGCCCGCTCGAGCGCCATAGGGGGGAACCGCCAAGCCCTCTTTCCACCGGTAGTTTTTTCTTTTATACCTAACTTAACCTAACCGAACCTAATCGTGTCTTGGCGATAAACATTCAACATATCCTGAAAGAACAACTGTTTCGTTATAATTCGGTTTTCGGTATATAGAAAATTCGAACAAACGTTATTTCGGGCAAAAAAAATTCGACTTTGTGATAGGTTACCTGTCATATGTATCAGTCCTAGACTCATGTCTAAATTTTATTGATTGTCAAATACTTATTATGTTGATGTGCCTAATATAATAATAAATAAATAAATTATACATCGGCTGCGGTAGACATCTACTACCTTGATGCCATTCAAATTTCAGGGCAGATATCTTGATATAGTTTTTTAATACAAAATTTGATTGTTTGAATAACTAAGTATCAAGTAGGACCTTTTAGTAAAAAATCACGAATTATGAGCTCGGATAATTTTTAAACTATACGGTTTAGGCATTAATGTCTAACTTGTGTGTATTGTATAGAGGATCAAATTTGGTTTACATGGAGTATACTTGCAGGATTTAAAAAGTAAAGCATAGCATGGGACCTAAAGGGCCCGAAACGTCGGTTTGTTTGAAAAAATAAATATACGCGATTTAAATCCGGAAAAATAGTTTCATTTCCTATGTGTAACAATCGCGAAAACCTAAGAACTCGATAATATTATTAATTGATTACTGACGCACATTAAATTGAATGGACACTTCAATTCGGAAATAAGACCTTGTGGTAACGACTGTAAGGGTCGTATTCCAGAACTCTACTCAATACTCGAGTCAGGACTTGAGTATTGCAGTGAGCACTGAAAATCATACTCAAGTCCTTGCCATTAGGATCGTATTTCCAGTGCTTGAAATCATACTCAAGTCTGCTCAAATCCTGACTAGAGCATTGAGTAGAGTTCTGGAATACGACCCTAAGAGTAGTATTGCCAGTTTAGAGGTTTTATCAATAAACATATTTTTTTATTCCTAGTGACGGAACGAACAAGTCGTGCTCCTGGTAGTAAGCGACACGCCTGTGCAAAGTAGTTGCAGTGCCAATCAGAACTTTAATTCGCAAAGATCTGAGGGGCACTGCCACTACGCCCGTCACAAGGCTGAGACATAAGTTGACAAGTCCGATGTGGCTGTAATTTCACCAACACCCTTACCCTTCAAAAGCTCAAATTACTATTTGGCGGCAGAAATAGGTAAGGTGGCACTACTTTCCTGGACGAACTCTTTTATAAGGAGCTCTAGTGCGACGTATATGTAGAAATAATTACTTAAGCAGTTTTTGATACATAAGAGCAATAAATTAGTAATTTATTTCAACAGTATTTTATTTATCATGAATATTTGTAGATAATATTTATGTAGTGCTTTGAGGCTTCGGATATTTAAAAGAAACATTTTAGCAACCATAGTTTAGCTCTATTATCTACTTTATAACTCCTCCGTAGCGCAACGTACAATATACATAGGGCGCACTATAAGTTTCCGGAACTGGCCACTTACATAAACAATATCTAAAAAGTAATTACAACATTCGAAAATGGAACTCTTTGGCTGTAGGATACAGTTTGTTTCATCTGACTTTCATTTGTTTTTACATTGTGGCGTCATTTTAGAAATTGAACGATAGGAATATGAGAATATGATGTGAAATCAACCTGCAAAATTTGTGTATACAATGCAATTTTTGCATTTCAGTTACTTTGTGCTTTAAGATACGAGTTTGAGAAAGTAAGGCGAAGATATGCGTTTTAGTTATAGTTGACAAAACCGCGGTAACGAACACAGAGAAAGAGGACAAGCAAATATTTGAGGGCGGATTTTTTTTTAATAAAAAAGTTATAGTTATTTTATTTACTTTCTTATTACACATTCCAAATTTACGAGAACATGTTTTTTGGCGCTTTTTTCGTGACAGTTTTGGCTAATATCTCATTGTTTTAATTTGCAGTTGGCTTCCTACTTTTGTTAATACGTGCATTAAAATCTATTAGATTTTTTTGCTGTTACTTACTCGTCGTTATGATCTCTAATTAGATGAAATGCGTGTTTATTTATGCTTAAATAATTTATTTTTATACATAGAAGAATTATTAGTGCTTTGAAATTTGGTCTAGGTTTAATTGTGGTTGGAGATCATTTTTCTAACCTTATCATTTTCACACAAGGCAGTAAGAGAATCGCAATAACACACATGTCATTTGAAATATTTTATTTAAAATTGATTTGCACAGTTGCACAGACAGCTAGATGACAGCTATTCAGTAAATTAATTTTATTTTAAATGAATTAGTGGACTTCAATAATTTGACGTTCAATTTTCATTTCGATTTCTGTCATCATCATGATTAAAACCAATTTATACTATTGCTACAACTTTAAATAAATAAGAAGAGATATAACTACAACCTTGCAAAGACAGCCGGAGGTGGGTACGAATTAATGCAGTCGTTTGTTATAAGTAACTACTAATCCTGTTCGATAAACGACCACAAGAGTGTGTCCAGCTTCCGTACCCACCTCGCGCTGCTACATGTATAGATCTACCAGCACTTTAATATCAAAAGTTACAAAAGATCCTACAATATGCTTTCGTCAATACGTCATATTGTAAAAGTTCTTTACAAAACGATGAAACTTGGCCACTAGCTATCACTAAAAAGTGCTAGTAAAAATTATTCATGAATTAGAGAAAACAAGTGTTTGAGTCGCTTTCTGTAAGACATGAAAGGGGAAAAGCACCGGCCAAGGCGGGCGCGCTGCGGCGCAAACGCGTCGACCGAACCTTTTCTAACACAGGGCCCTCGTTTACTTCTAAATTATAATAGTCACTGGTCTCAAAACATGGCTTAAGTACTATACACCTAAAATATATAAATTATTACAAATTAAGTAAGGCATTTACAACATCAGGGATTCTTATAAGTTACTTTATATTTACACGATACTAGACTGTTTGTTGTAACATCGTGTAAAAACAAAGACATTGACTAAACTTATATCGGTAAAACAATTAAGTTTACATGTAAAATGGTCAAGATTTCGGCGATCTTAATGACCTACGAAGTGTGGCTTGTACGTAAAACATCCGCTACTTTAAAGAGCGTCTTCGTTTGGTCAAATAATTTAGATACATCTTCATAATTTGGAACATCTTTCTTTATCATAAAGGCATAGTCGTTTACAACTTAGCACTATCGTTTGGCACTGACTTTTTGTTAAAAAGATAAATAATAATAAATTAGCCTTAATAAATGAAATTTGAAAAGTTGTTACACTCAGGGTATATGAAATCGTTATTTTAATATTTTAATCACAGTCATAATTGATGCATTATTATTGAGTTGTGCGTGCCACGACATTTTATGTAAAGTGGGAAAATATATCGATAACTACATAAATTATGACACGAAATCTTATACTACTCCATCAGGATAATTTGAGCATTTTTCTTGTGCATTTAGAGTAGATGGAAGATTATCACTTAGGTCCTTTATCCTCATGATGACGGATCAAATTAGATGACAATTTCACTTAAGTATTTCACCTTCGTCGCTTCGCAGATACGGCAGCTGCGATCATTTGCCTCAGCATCGGTTCCGGTGTACAGGCTTTAGGATCACATTTCATTTGACCATCTCCTCCACATCTGTAGATAGACAATAATTTATTAAGTACTTTTACCAAGCTATTATGCACCTTTAAATTACATGTCAGTGAGTGTTACTTATTACTTACGTGCAATGAAGGCATGGTCCTGATGAAGCTCGGACTACTTCTCCTACTTTATATGTGTGTCCCTTTATTTGACAGCCTCTTCTTTGCGCCGCGCCCTTGTAGGCATGGGGCAAGAAGTGTGGGGGTAAGGTAGTCGTTGTGGTCGTAGTGGTCGTTGTGACATTGAGTGTAGTTGCCATCGCCACAGGACACTCGTATCTCGGACAACAAAATCCTTGTATAGGCTCTTCATGGCAACCATGTATGGGAGGAGGACAACTCTGTTGCAAACAAATGATATCGCTTCTGAAACAGAAACAAAAGTCGCAAGGATCGTCTCTAGGTATTTGTTGAGCCGAAACGTAAACTTTTCCTCCATAGCGACAAGTTCCTGGTCCAAACGCTTGATCTTCTTCGCCATAATCGGGTTCTTGTCCATAACCACCGCTTGGTGGAAAGTGACTTTCATCTTCTGGTGAGGGTACTTCGTCAGTAGGCTGCAATTCACTTGGTGCTTCTGGTTCAGGAGCTGGAACTTCACTGGGTTTCTCTTCAGGTTTCGTAAATTTATCGAATAGCGGAGATTGCGTCGTCGGCTCGGTTTCAATTTTAATTGTAGTAGCTTTTGTAGAAGCAGGTATAAATTCTTCTTCAGGGGCGGTAGTTTCCACTCCGACTTCGATCGGCTTAGTTGTGATGTCTTTTTCTGGTACTGAGGTATCTTCTGGAATAAATGGTCTTTCTGTTTCTGTAGGAGTGACTGGTGTGGATTGTTCCTTTTCTTGAGTTCTCGTTATCAACCCAGCTTCTTCATAGCCGACTTTGTCAATTAAAGAAGTAGTCGCTTCTTCAGGCGTTTTCGTGACTTCCTCTGGAGTATCTTCAGGTGTTTCGGGTTTAGAAGGAATCAAACCTTCTTCCTCAAGAGAAAGCGCTTCAGTGGCCATCGGTGGGGCTTGGGTTAGTATTTCATCGCTTGGTGAAGCTTCTGTACCAATTTCAGGTACCTCAGTATCATGAAGCTCAGTTCGAGAGGTGGTAGGCTCTTCTGATGGTGCGGCAGATGATAGTTCTTCATCAATTTTGTGTGTATGTTCTTCTAATTCTACCAAATATGGAGTAGTTTCAGAGACCTCCTGTTCGGGCGAAAATGTTTGTGGTTGTTCAGACAATTTTGTGACATCTTCAGGACTTTCTGATATTGGTGATTTAGTGCTTATTTCTGAAGGTGGCACTGTTTCTTCTGCAGGTATAGTCTCAGTTGTTTTAATGTCTGTTACAGACGACTCAGGTTCTCTTGAACTTGATTCCTCTTCAACAGGTGTTAATAAAACTGGCACGTCTGTTTGTAGCTCTTCCTGTTGCGTATCATACTTCATGGGTGGTGTACTCATGCTACTTTCTTCAGTTGTTAACACTTCTGGTTTCCTAGTAGGCTGTTCTTGTGAATGCTCTGCTTCTATTTCATGTGAGTGTAGAGTTGTGATAGGTGACTTAGTTTGTTCTTCTGGAACCATAGTATCAATCGATTGCTCCGATGCAGGAGCCTTTGTAGTTTCGTAAGCTGGCTTTTCGGTAGCTATTTGTTCGGGTTCTTCTGTTAAGATTTCAGGAGCACTTGTTTTAGGACTTTCGGTTTCTTTTTCTTGATCCTGTGTTTGCGCTTCTGTTGTACGATCCAGAGGTGGTATTCCTGGAGCTTCTGAAGCAACGTCAGTAGATGTTGTTTCTTTGTCCTCTATTTTTTCCTCTATCTTTGATGGTCGAGTAACCTCTTCAGTTGATACTGGAATCTCCGTGAGTGGTTCTGGCTCTTGTGCAGTAATAGGTTCGGGTGCGATAGTTTGAACTTCTTTTTCAGGGGTTTCGGTAATAAGTGATTCTTCCGCAGCTTTAGTCGTAATCTCTTCAGACTGAATAGAAGGTACAGTTGGTACATAAGGTTCTTCAGTTTTAAATGTAACTGAAACCTTTTCGGAGGTCTCTTCTGGTTCAGTAGTAGATGAAACAGAAGACACTGGCGTTTCGGTACTTGATTCCTTATCTATAGCAGGTGGTTCCTTAGTAGTCATTTCACTTTCCGTTGCCACCTCTTGTTCTTGTGGTGGAGATTCAGTAGGGATTACTTCCGGTTGTCTGAGGACAGGCTTCGCAGTAATGGATTGTTCTGACTCTTCATGTGGTTCTGGAGTTTCAGATGGCTCCGTTTCTGGTGTTTCAGTTTTTTCGTGATCTTTGATTGCTTGTTCAGTAGTAGGAGCCTCTTCATGTTCGGAAATATGCGATTTAGATGTGGTAGCTTCTGCTTGCAGCTTAGTTACCATTGCTAATGGAGATTCAGTTTGAATTTGGTCTTCATCAGTTATTGAAACTGGGACAGAAGTGATATATTCATCTTGAATAGCTGGTGACGACGGTTCTTTGTTTTGAGTCTCTTGCTCTGGTTGCTGAGGAGTTTGTTCTGTAGCTATTGTTTCATGTTCAGGTGCTGATGTTACCTGGGGCTCAGGTGATTCTGTTGATTCTGGAATAGAAGCCAAGTCAGACATAGTAGAGATATCAATCTCCTCTTTGGGCTTCACTTGTTTTGGTACTTGTGTAGTAAGCTCGTCAGGTGACTCTGGTTGCCCTTGGTGTTCACTATCTGAAGTCACTGGTTCTTCAGCCTCTGTTTTAGGTGCCTTTGTAGTTAGCATTTCCGTATCTGTTTCCGTTGGTGGCGCTTTTGTCACTTCAGGTGATTCTGGTATGTTTTCCGTTTCGGGTTCTGTGGATTTTACCACAATTTCAGTTGTAACGTCCTGAGGGCTAGTAACTGGAGACTCTGGTAGCTCAGAAATAGTTTCGTCTTGAGCTTTACTTGTGACTGAAGATTCTGGAGTTTCAGTTTGTCTTTCCTCCTCAGCCGCGCTTGTTATGGGAGATTCTGGTGATTCCGTATGAGTTTCATCCTGTGGCATAGTTGTTCCAGGTTTATGGAGCAAGGTAGGTTTATCATCCTGGGGTGCACTCGGTTTATAAGGCTCTGGTTGCTCAGTATCTAATTCGTCTCCTGGAACTCTTGTTGCTGGTTGCTCTGGCAACATGCTTGATATTTCTTCTTCTGGAATCTTTTCAGTTTCTGGAAGCTCGCTGTGAGCTTCATCACTAGTAGCTGGAGACTCTTCTGTTTTAGTTTCTAAAGCTCCATCACGAACATCTATAACAGGCAATTCTGGTTGTTCAGTGGGAATTTGTTCTTGAGATACACTTGTAGTAGGTGACTCTGGCAGTTTAGTTTGTTTTTCACTGAATGGTGTACTCGTAGCGGCAGATACAGGCACCTCAGTTCCTTCTTGTGGTGAACCAGTTGCAGTTTCCATTTCTTGCTGTGGTTCTGTGTGAGTTTCATCTTCTGGTTTACTTGTTTCAGAAGATTCAGGAAGAATAGTATGCGCTTCATCTTGTGGTACACTTGTAATTGTTGGTTCAGGTAATTCAGTACGTGTTTCATCATGTCCTTGCTCGGTGGGAGTCTCATCTTGAGGAACGTTTGTAACAGGCAATTCTGGTATTTTAGATACATCTGTTACTGGAATTTCTGTTGACTCCGTTTGGATTTCCCCGTGGGGAACCGTTGTAACAGGCTCTGATAATTCACTTGCAGTTTCAGTTTGTGGTTCCATTGTAGCAGACTCTGGTAATACAGTCTTAGTTTCGTCTTGTGGTACATTTGTTACAGAAGATTCTGGTAATTCGGCATGAGTGTCATCGTGTGGCGTACTAGTTACAGGTTCTGACGACTCTGTGCGAACTTCATCATGTGGCATACTAGTTACAGGTTTTGGTAATTCAGTGGGAGTTTCATCTTGCGGCGCGCTTGTAGCTGGTGATTCTGGCAACTCAGTGCGAATTTCATCCTGCGGTTGTTCAGGTTGTCCGGTACGTATCTCATTATCTGCTGGCGTACTTGTAACAGACAGTTCAGGTTCTTCATGACGTCGTGTGTCGTCACTTGCAACAGTTGTTTCTGAAATTTCTGGCAAATTGGTGCTAGTTTCTTGTTCTAAAGCATGTGTTACGTGCTCTTGTGAAATTTCGTCTTTAATAGTACTCGTTGCAGATATTGGTAATTCTGTGTGATCTTTATCAATGTATTCGGATGCAGGTGTAACTGTTTCCTTTTGTATTTCGTCCGTCACAAATTCCACACCAGGAGCACCGGTAACGCTTGGTTCAGGGTATTTTTCAGTGGGTATTTCGGCCATTTCTTGTTCTATGCCAGATCCGTCCGTAGTTGGCTCAGGTAATTTCTGTTCTTCTTCAGATATTTGAGGTTCTGGTTGTTCTGTTGCAAGATCAGTTACTTTAGGTACGCTTGTTAATAGTTCTTCTGGACCTGGTGTAACGTCGTCTCTCTCAGCTATTTTTGTAACTTCTACGTCAGATACAGTCTGGGACTCGGGTAATTCCGTGGGTACCCCATGATCTTCTTCTGTGACAGGTTCCTTAACAAACATTGGTGTCGTTTCATCACTAGGTACAACTGGCACCGATTGCACACAGTTAGATCCTTCGCATTCAGAAGGTGGCTGTTCATCCGTTGGTTCATGTCGCCTGCAACTTTCATCGTAGCATGTTTCGTCATCGGGCTTCTTGCACCCGCTTTCATCAGAGCATACTTCATCCTGTACGCTTGTTTGTGGTTGCACAGTAACCTCGGTACATTTACCGTCAGCACAGTCACCAGAAGTAGGAACACACAAATCTCCTTCACAAGGTGGCATAGGTGCCTCAGGTATCTTTTCATCTTTAGAAGGCACTGCTGGCTTTTGTTGACAATGTTCTCCTTCGCACGGTATTTGTTGAGGTTGACCACAATCGCCTTGTTCTGTACACAATTTATTCTCCAAGATACATGATTCACCTTCACAAGGAGGAGAATCAATTTCAGGAACTTTGGATTCTTTACATTCTTCCTCATTGACGCATACTTGTGGTACAACCTCCACAGGCTTCCCTTCACAATCTTCGCCTACACATGGCTGAGTTTCCACTTTGTCAACCGCACATGATTCACCATCACAAGGAACAATTTGACTTTCTGGAACTTTAATTCCTTTGCATTGTTCTGGAGATTCACATGATTGAGGTTGCTCTTTGGTAGGCGGTACCTCACATTTTTCATCAGTGCAAGTTGTTGCAGGATAGGCACAATTGTCACCACTGCATTGTTCGGGTTGTTCTACTGTAGGAATTTGTGCAGGTTGTTCAACAGCGGTACACCCATCAGAGCCACATCTTTCTGGTATTTTTGTAGGGGCTGTAGGTGGTTGTTTTTCTTCGCTAATCTTACATTCATTACCGTGGCATTCAATTTCCGATGCAATAGTTGGACTTTCTGTTCCAGACATTTGACTATGAGGCTGGGGAGGTATTGTTTCTTTTGAATGATCGCACACATACGTTGGACAACACGAATCTGGAGTATCGTATGTAACTTGACAATTATCCATGTAATCCGGTGGTGGACTACACATTATCGGGTCACATTTAACAATACTGCTGAAACATTTACAACCAGAATGGCATTTGTTGGTACTTGGTACAACGCTGTTATTGCTATATGTAATACCATTGAGAAGACAGTCACCTTCACCTGGTATTTGATCAGGTGACGGTAAGTGAGGTAATTCTTCACCTATTTCGTTTTCTTCTGGATTAAGCGTTGTGGTTTTAGAAACGTCCACCGTTTCAGTTGCAGGCGTTGTAGGAGTTTCTTTTTCAGTTACATGAGCAAAAGTAGAAAGCTCCAACATAATAGATTCTGTTGTCGATTCCTTTGATGGTGATGGTTCTTCAAGATCTTGCTGTTCCGGAAGTTTTCCAGTAGTAGGTACTGTTTCGTGATCCAGAATTGGTGAAACTGTTTCTACACTTGCGGGAGACTCGGATGTGATTGCAACTGCAACGACTTCCGTTTCCTTTTGTACTGTGGCTTCGGTAGTAATAGCATCTTCTTTAAATACGGGTTCAGTGGTTGATATCTTTTCTTTACCAGTACTAGCAAAAGGTTCTTCTGTATCTGTTAGTAAGTCTGTAACATCCAATTTTTCTCTTGGCGTTGTTACTTCAGCTGCTGATTCTGTACTTTCATCTAAAACCTTACTTGTAGTAATCTCTAATTCTTTTTGTGGTTTTGCTGTTACTACTACAGGTGATTCTGTACTTCCATCTGAAACCTTACTTGGAGTAATGTACTGTTCATCATCAGGAGCCTTGGTCGCCTGCGGTTCAGGGCTCTCCTCTAGATCCGTTCTAGCTGGCGTAGTTTCTTCAGCTGTCATAGTTGGCTCTGTTGAACCTTCTCTTAAAACAGTAACTTGTTCTGTAGTTATTTCAGAACTTTCACTTGGTTCAGTTCCTTTTGTAACAGGCAATCCTGTGGTCTTTGATTCTTCTTCAAATGTTGGTTGGGAACTTTGTTCAGTAATAACATTACTTAATGTTGAATCCTTTACGTCTACTAAAGATGGTTCTGTTGTCTTCTCTTCATATGTTGATTTAGTTTCGTCTTTTTTTATAGATTCGGTAGTTACTTCAACTGGACCTTCACTGGTTACTATTTCTGGCTCAATGTATGGAAGTTTCGTGGATTCCTCTGCATATTGCACCGTAGGTTCTTCGAAGGGCGGCTTTGGACCTTCGTCTTTGTTATCTCCAGGAATTGAACTATCCTCAACTAAAGTAGATTCAGTGACCTTTACATCATGACTAGTAGTTTTACCTTCAGTTAAAGAATCTATTGATTGATCTTCGCCTTGGCTTAGTACTGTAGGTAGTTCTGTGACTTTGGTATCTTCGCTAGGTGTAGTTTTTTCAACATAAGAAGGTTCAGTTATTTTGTCATCGCTAGGTACGGTATTGAGCCCCTTATCCGGTTCAGTAGTTTCCTGGTCAATATCTTGTAATATTGGAATACTCGTAGTGCTTAGACTCTGTGGGATGTTTGCCTCCGTAGTTTCTGTCTCAGGTTCTAGCATTTCGCTAGTAGGAACACACAAATCTCCTATACAGGATGGCACAGGTTTTCTAGTAGAAATATCTTCTTCGCCGCTTCCTTCTATTTCAAATGTTGGTACCTCAGTATACGGTAAATCATCATCATGTCTATACCCACTGCCTTCTACGCCTGCCCTTCTTGGAGGAATCGTGGTGATTTCTTCGAACGGCTCCTTCGTTGTCATTTCATCGCCTTCACAAATGTAAGTGTCTGGACAACATTGGCCTTCACGTGGAGGTAACGATGTACAGTTCTTTCCTTCATTTTCCATTGGTGTTCCACATTCTTGCACGACACAAACTATGTCACCCTTCATACAGTAGCAATGTTGACATGGTTTTTCGGTTTTTATGAGAGCCCCATCCGGATACAATTGATCATCTTCAATGCAGTCTCTCTTAGCGGGCATAGTTGTCGGTTCCTCAGTAGCAGTAGTTGTAAGAAGGAAACCCGGTGTCGGCCGCACTGTTGTCGTCATATCGTCCAAAGCAGGCATTTCTTCATCAGGGTGATCTGAAAAGATAATTGTTATTTTCTTAATAAAGTTCTTGATTTTTTTTATAAGAAAAATTCCTTTTCTTTTAAAGTCAATGTTCGTCAATTGGTAATGTTTCATAAAATGCTGAAATACATACGTGTAACGTGTTACTTTGACAGTTGTTATTTGTAATTGAATAATTTTAAAAGGTTAAGTTATTGTTAGAGTACTTACCACAGAAATATCTAATCGGGCAGCAGACATCTTTGGCGTAAATCGGAGTGCAACCGTCGACATGAAGAGTACATTCTTGCATCACGCAAGTCGTCATATTTCGAATGCAGTAGCAGTGTTCACAAGGCTTGCCAGGTGTCTGCGGCACCTTCGCTCCCTCAGGTAAGTATCTACCATTGATCGTGCATCCATAATTATCCACTTTGCCAACACCTGTGCTACCGTACTCGGCTGGAGACGAGGTCGATGTTGACGTGAGGAGGTCAACTGGAACTATAATGATAGGATATTTTTGAAATTTTATTTGTAAAATTGTGACAATTGAATAGACATAAATATAGAAATATGTACCGCAGAACTACTAAGTGTATGTGTATAGGTGGACGACTAGATACTAGGGATGCACATTATGATTAGATTTTTATGAACTATTTTTTAAATCGATACAAAATCAAGGCGAATCGAAACGTATAGATCGTATTCATAATTTAAGTAAAAGTCTCATCTTATTAATGATTTCGTCAAGTACAGAAGCGGATAATAAAGAGAAGGAGAATGCTTTGGGAATTAAGTTATATGACATAATTATTGAAAAGTTTAGTTAGATGTAAAGGATTGGCATGTGTGAAAAACAAAAAATATATTGGCATATTATTATGGCAATTAAATCATGTAATAAAGGTTTTATTTATTACAAATTTTGAAACGATTTTTATGAGATCGATCCAAGCACATACCATCCGAACCCTGGATCGATTCAGAGGCATATGATCCATAACGACTAAAAAAAATCGATTCAAAGCAAAAATTCGTGCATCCCTACTAGATACACCTACACAGAAGAACGAGCAAATGTGTCTTTGTGATGAAATGCTTACCGTCTGGACATGTGACGATGGGGCAGCACTGGTCAGCTCGCTTCTCTACTGTGCAGTCCTGACCAATGGCTTTGGTGAAGGGGCACACCCTAAGATAGCACATGAGCATTCGGTTGTGGCAAGTGCAGTTCAGACAGGGCTCGTTCGTCATGATACGGTCTCCCTCAGCATAATGCCTGAAGTTATAGTAGCAGCCTTCTGTGTGACCTGGAATATTTAAAACGTAATCTAGTTATGTTGTAAACCAATTCTATGTTTCCAAGTAAATGTCGTAGATATGTGATAAAACTAACTTACCGTCATATAAATCTAAAGCTGTGTGATTGCCGGATGCTGTAGGTGCTGAAAAATAAAGAAAAATCAGAATTGTGTCGACATTCTTCATTTATTAATTAAGTAAGTATTCATCGTTCATTTATTGAATAAGTAAGTATTTAAGATGTTAGGTAGGTTATTCGTTCTGTCTAGCTACAATGCTTTTCTCATCTCGTAAATTTCTACAAATTCCTAGGTAAAGCCCAAAGTCTTTAGTGATTGCTGAGAGAGTAAAACATGCTATATCTACACGAACCAAGTCACGGTGAAAGCTATTCAACATAAGTTTTATGATACGTATTCTCAAGGTATTCACATAAACCCTAGAGATTACGCCTAGGCAATATAGCGCGAACAGGATGCGGCGGCAATATAACAAAGTTTCTTTTATTTACTCCCACATATTGCCCAACACCGGTTTCTTTCAAAAGAAAAATATCGATACAGACATTAAAGGGGGCGAACGTTCCAAGAACCTTTTACTGCTGTTTTTATGAGCTTGCTTATTAGGCACGTCACTGTTGGACAGGATATTAGCTGCAAATCGTCTGAGGTTGGCCATCGGTGGTCGTCTTAATATATCTATGGTCTTAAAGTCGTTTCACATATCCGTTTTACTGCGTATACGTAATTGCTGAAGCCGAGTGGGGCTGTAATTAAACTAACGGAGAGTGTCGTTAACATCGTGGCCGCGCCGATTGGATACTTAGGGCAAAAGTCATAACGCCGGAGGAAAGAACATGCACTAATCGATTGACGGATGTTAAGTCAGTAGACGCATAAAGATACCGTTGGCTCCGCCCTGAGGCAAGCAGTGCTCGGCCGCGCGCAACTAACTTCAAATTGCCCCTCACAAATTGTCTTGTTGTCAGCAGAGTGAAATAGCTTTGGTTTAGTAACAAAACTGGTTTGTAATAATCTAGAACCACATAGTGTTTACACACATCTAAATAACTCATGTGTGTGGGGTACTTAATGGAGGATGGAGCGTTCCCATAGTTTTCCCAACAATAAACATTCATGCTATTCAGAATTCTACGTGAGTCACTTGAGACACGTCTTTGCTAAAAGCTAGTGCAATTGATCATGCTTGCAACGCGGTGTGTTTAAGCTTATCAAGCTAGTTGCGGCACCGTTAGGGCGCCGCTGCTTCCGACGGTGGCGCTTGTCTAGGCTTGTCTAGGATGGCGGAGCGTGGTGCGGGTGCACTCCGCGAAATCGTCCGTCTAACGGTCGCCAGGAATGTCGTTAGCATCAAGTTTTTGCCAGCTATAATTTCAATTATATTATATCCACTCTTACGAATCGATCATAAAACGAAAATTATAGCTATAACGGGACAACGAAACACCAAGTTCTTGTTATAATTCAAGTCGTCGAATAATAATGATCAAAAACTCGATCTTCCACAAAAACGTTCTAACTGGGTTAGTTCCCGTTTTGCAAGAAGGCGTCATTGACCAATTGACAGCTGAGAATTCGAGATGACTAAATAAAAAATCCCAAACTCCCAAAGCGGTGACGCACGCGCTCGATATTCACCATTTCCAACAATGACATTAATGCATAAATGCCTAAGTATTATTTTATAAACCGCAGTGCACAAAAAAACTACTTACGCAAAATCGTGTGCTTAGGAACATGTCGCGAAGCAATCGAAATGAGGAGCCAGTATGAATTCAAAATTTGTACTACATTAATATGGATTGTCGTTTCAATGAATGAATGCGGTCGCCATGCGCGATGAAGTTCACACGGGTAGACCTAAACTTAGTAGGCCGCATTTAAATACACTTCCTATGTATAACATAAGTTCGGTTGGAATTCTATGAAAGCACCGTGCTACGGATACTAAAATTTGCGCGTACAAAAATAGTACCATCTAGAACGATGCGTATAATAGTAACAATAAAAGTCTAAAATATATAATTATAATAATAATGTAAGTATTACATCATCGTTGAACGGTAATTTGCATGTTTATTGGTGTGCATTTTATGATTGATAGAATGGTAAGCAAATATTACGGTGAATTGGATTGATATCGCTAATGTATTGATACAAGATCGAGAAACTCGAAACCTGTATTATATGAATTTGTACCTATCGACAACTTTGATTGATCAATAAATTGTGATTGTGTTTTAGAAAATCAATAAATTACTAGCAGTACAGCTCCTTGTGGAAGAATTCGTCCAGGGAAGTACTGCCACCTTACCTATTTCAACCGCCAAGTAGTAATGTTGGCATTACTGCGTTCCGGCTGCGAACGGTAAGGTTGCAGGTGAAATTACAGACACATTGGACTTGTCAACTTATGTCTCAGTATGACGGGCACAGCGGTAGTGAGTGCCACGAGTGCTGAGTGGCACGCAACTGTTATGAATAGACGTGGCGCTGCCACCAGGCGCATGACTTGTTCGTCTCGTCGCTTGGTATTATAAAAAAAATAACTGAAGATATCCACGAACTTTAAAAAGTTTTGTAAATTTATGATTTAGTACCTGTACATTTACATTTATTTGCGTACAACAAAAATATATCGAAGTCCACTTTCGAGGAGCATAAAAAAAACAATAGCTATCGAGATCTTATCGCCATTCTCCACACAGTGTCTGTGGCCTAAGGCCAGTATCGCACACGGACATCTCCTCACGAGCGGAGCGATTTCGGGTCACGAGACGAGACGCAACGGTAGATACTTGTTCTTAACTCAAATATTATAATTATATGCCAGAGTAACCATTTGAATAAGTGCGCCTTTAAGTAGTTACACTTGGAATTTACAAAGATGCGATATAACTATAGAATTTATTACGGCACTACTGCACATAATACAGTTGTGTTTCGAAGCGGTAGTACCCAGTAGAAGCGTAGTTTTAGTATGAAGTATTCACATATAAAACGTGGATAAACGCGATGAAATTGTAATAGGTATTTGCACAACATTTCATCTCTCTTATCTCTGTTTTGTAATGTTTGCAATGCGACAGTTTAAAAATGTTACGTGTAAACGCGTTTTAAGATTAACACTTAACTGCATCCGTGACTGAACGGTTACCATGCCGGACTGCCACGCAGAGAGAGGTCCCAGGTTCGATTCCCGGGCCGGGACAAATAAGTGGTTGTCTATGTGTGTGTCCATGGCACCCGCGCCTCGTCTCAGGGTTTCCCTAGTGCAGGGCTATGCTGCGTGTGTGCGTTATTATTACTTAAAAATTTGCTCCACATTGTACAAGATTATTAATTTTAATTACTATCATTATTTCTTTCTTCAGTTCTTTCTTCATTCGATTTCCAATTCGTTATTCATGAACCAGGGCTTGAAGAAATAAACAATCTCAGAAACTTGTACTACTGTAATAAATCATACATACGTAAGTCTCATTTACCATAATTATCCTATTTATAGAATTCATATACAAATTTGAAATATCGTAAGGGATTTTTTCCCCGTACGACAAAATGTCCCTTAAATCAATAAGTTAAGACATTTTAAAATTTGTTATATCAAACAAAGTATTACCTTCGTATCGACGATGGAAATTTAAATGTCATAAGTGACATTTGGGAAAACTATCGAATACGCATGCTCTATAGCACACTGACATCTAATCCTGGTTCAATTCATATTTTGTCGTATAGAATTCATATGCTTTTTGAGACATTATGTTAACTGTAAATTTTTACAATATATTTCGGATTATGTAGATGTCGAAGCGATTTATATGACAACTAAATCGAATTTGTTAGAATGTTTTATGTATACGAGTACCAGTCTGTTTTCTACGTGGGTAGTTCTGCATCTGCAACGTCTTTGTTGACTAAACGCATACGAAGTTTAACAAACTTCATGATTGTTCGGTCGGTCAATGAAAGCTTTATAAATCTGAGTTAATATTGGCTGATATAACTATTAATTATTAGGGAGAGTACTGTCCATTGCCCAACGGAGTGAAAATAAATCTTGAAAGCAATCGTAACTATCAAGTATGTATGTCTAATCTGTATGTATGAATATTTTTTTGAGCGCCTGGTGGTAAGCTTTTGGTAAGGTAAGATAGACGTATCTATCCATAAAAGTTGCAATGCCACTCGAGCTTTTAAACGCAAAGATCTTAGAGGCACTGCCACTGTGCCCGTCACTCTGAGACATAAACTGGCAAGTCCCATGTGCCTGTAATTTCACCATCACCCTTATCTTCCAAACCGCAACGCAGTAATGCTCACATTACTGCTTGGTGGCTAAAATAGGTAAGGTGGCAGTACTTCCCTGGACCTACTCTTTCACTAGGTGCTCTACTGCTACTTAAGTAGGAATAAAGTAGTAATAAATAATCTAATGCAAAGAACTAACTAGTCTTGACTTGCTTTTTACATAACATTTAACTGAAGAGTGACAAGACTGCCACTTTCGCGTTTAATGTTTCTTAAAGGACATTAACTGCCTCCGTGGCCGAACGGTTACCATGCTGGACTGCCACGCAGAGTTCCCAGGTTCGATTCCCGGGCCGGGAGAAATATTTGTATGGTCTACAATTATTTCTCTCGTGAGTTTGGGTGTAATTTGTGTTTGTCTATATGTGTGTCCATGGCACCCGCGACACAGGGTTTCCCTAGTGCGGGGCTATGTAGAGTGTGTGCGTTATTTATTTATTTATGTGCGTTATTCTTTTCTTTATGATATCAAGCGACAGGACGAATTGGTGGTAAGCGACACGTCTATTCATAACAATTGTAGTGTCACTCAGGGCTTTAAATCGCAAGATCGAGGGGCACTTCCACTGCGCCCGTCTTCCTGAGACATAAATTGACAAATTCCATGTGCCTGTAATTCCTCCAGCACCCTTCTCAACCTCAACTTCTTTCTCAACTTCTTTGTCCTTCAAAACCGGAACGCAGTTAATACTCACATTACTGCTTGGGGGCAGGAATAGGTAAGGTGGCAGTTCCCTGATGAACTCTTTTGTTATTTGTGACTAAAGTATATTGAATTATAGTAGAAAGAAATGCTGTTGCTCTTTTACCAATTATAGTTATAAAACTCCGTCGCTAGACACCTGCGTAACCACTTCTTATCGATGGCATACACTATATTATTGTGGCCCAGAACACAGTCACGCAGACCGCGTCACTAGTGGTAGCAGTTGTTAGGACACCTAGGGCGCTATGTGACATACAAATTGTCCTTACTCCGGCCAACCTGATTTCGAAGCCTATTTAATTACTTCCAGATCGGCCACGTCAATTCGTGTCCAGGAGAAAGACTCTCAGAAGGCGGGTCGTGATAGATGATAATCTTTCGTGTCAAAGGTACAGACGGCAGAACTTCAAGCAACACATTGGCTGGTCTGCTCGGTTATACTGGAGGCGATATTCGAGCAAAAGTGTATAGCTTGATGTGCTGTTGACTGTAGTTTTTTTTTATAATATCAAGTGACGGGACGAATAAACAGTGCGCTTGATGGTAGGCTACACGCCTGTCCATAACAGTTGCAGTGCCACTCAGAGCTCTAAATCGCAAACGTCTGAGAGGCACTGCCACTGCGCCCGTCACTCTGAGACATAAGTTGACAAGTCCTATGTGCCTGTAATTTCACAAGCACCCCTACCTTTCAAAACCGGAACACAGTAATGCTGACAATACTGCTTAGCGGCAGAAATAGATAAGGTGGCAGTACTTCCCTGGACCTACTCTTTCACAAGGAGTTTTACTGCATCTAAAATACATGAAGTACATGACTACAACCACTACTATATAGAACCGCAAGACAGAACCATATTTTATGGAACCATGAAGTAATATTGCACAAGCGTACTGAATAGGTGTTTGCATTAGTTGTGATTATAGTGTGAGTGACATTAGATGGCGCTTATACGACGATTATACGACGTGTGATTTTCTCGTGATACGACACGTCATTAGTATGAACCGGATTGTGAATAGCATCATCAGCATCGCCCGTGGGACTCATTGTTTTAAGATCAGACACAGAATATGACACCATCAACATAACTGTACATTTGATGGTGTACTAAAACTAATTGTTCTAGTTAAATCTTCTTATCTAGATCAAAATCTAGTTGTCAACTATCCGGTAATACATACGTACAGTTATAGATACAATCAGAAGCATCTCTTCTTTCATTAATAGTTAGTAAAAACTGGAAAGAATCTCTTCCCTTTTGTTGTGAGAATTCTTTAGTCAGATTTATGACCTGGGAACTATAGTATGGACTACCTTAGATATGGTCAGGGGCTCAGACAGCTTGTTATATAATAATTATGCACTTTAACTTTATGATTTAACGTAATCGTGGCGATGACGGTTCCAATTGTAATCAGCCGTAAAACATGCACTTTCCTATAAAAGACGTCAAATTGTACACAATTAAACTGCAAATCGCATATGTTGTGGTGTTATTTAATAATAATTTCGTTGATTTATTCTGAAGTTAGACGTAAACATTCTGTATATGGTTAAAACACTTTTGTTGTGGTAAATAGAATTATGAATTAAACGTTCAAATGTTGCGTAAATTTACGAATGAAGTAAAACAAACGCGCAAAGGTACGTAAACGTAATTGGTTATTGCGAATATCACGTAGAGATACGAAGATAAATTCGTTTCGATTAAGTGCTAATTCGTTTCGTACCTGTATATGCACGTCATGTGCCAACTTATTAACGTGTACTACTTCAAGTTATATAAACAGAAATTAATTTTTAGTTTAAGGATGCAAAGCTACTGACTGGCAGAAATCTTAGTATTCTGATGATGGAACGTGTAACGTGGGTAATCGTTTTACCTAAACTTCTAATGAGAGATTGTACAGTCACGGGCATTAATAATATACGTGTAGCAAAATTAGTTTTCCATTTTCATGGGAAACGTCTATTTCTATTATAACATAATTTATTTAATTAACTGTCCAACGTTAGCTGTGTTCTTAGTAAAATATTATGAATTTTTCATTAGGGAAAGTTACTTAAGAAATTGCAAACTTTGCGTCCTCTTTAAGGTAGAAAAACAATTTACACGCGCTTTAGTCCTTATTCCCCCGCTTAGTCCTTAGTCCTTATTTTAGCCGCAGTGACGATTTTGAAAAAGGTGGTAATGCTGTCTGAATAAATAATTACATTATTATTGAGCGCCGCCGCCATTGCAACTTTATGATAATATCATATAAGTTATAAGTGACAGCAATATGTCAAAAGTACAATAAAGTTTATAGACTCACCCGCAGTTGTAGTCGCGATATACGCGGCCAACGCGAGCAGCGCCCCCGCTGCACGCCGCCGATCCATCTGCCGGCTCCCGTCTGCAACAACCAAATTCAATAAATTACCATTATGTTCATTCACACCCATTAGTGACATGATATAATTAACTAAGACCAGAAATTCTTCTACGGTAAGTGTAGTACGTAGGTATACCCTACTCTATCAAGCCATATTGTAAGTTGACTAGAGTCGGCAGACTAAAGCACATAATAAGTCAAAATTCAACCTGTAATTAGTGATAGTAATCATTTAGTGAATAATCACAAAAGCCTTTAAATCTATAAGTCAAACGTTATTTGTTACTTCATGAATTTGTAACTTGAATTCTAGTGGCATCTTTTTTAAATTTATCGTTCTCTTCACATCTAATATTGGAATATTATAAACAACATAAAAAAATGTAATTATATATTAAACAATTAAGCACTTTTTGACTTTATGTGCCAGTAATATCATTGTTATGTGCTTTAGTTCGCCGACGCTAGGGTAATATCACGTTGCTGTGCTTGAAAAGGTTGCACATCCTAAAAAGTTCTCTTCTCCGACGACAATCTGTCCTTAGAGGAGGCTATGCCATTGCTGCTCTTGTGCAATTAGTTTTTCAATTCAAATCTTTGTACCAAATTGCTTGAAAAGAAAATTGCTTTTTTCAATGAATCATTTTCGTTGTCCTATTATTTTTGCCATAGTATTTATTGTATAATGTTACTAGTTAAGTATATAATGCAGTAAACATATATACGTAACAATTGTGCGATGCGGTTACATAGTCGAATACTCTGTGGAATCATAAAGATTATATAAAGAATAATTCTTTCAAAGTCAAAGTCACAACACGAATGCGTAACATTTTGTAACTGTTGCTTTTTATTTCGTAACACAAACTGCTCGGAACTCTTACTTAGGATGTTGCGACTTATCATCCAGTGAATAAAATTTGAACCTTGGAAGTTCGGTCGTTATGCAAAATATGAAAGCATTTTCCCGGAAGCTTTAAGGTTCGTATTAAGTCGAGCATTAAATTTCAAAGTAACACGTGTTATTTTTATGGGTTTATTAGAAGGATTCTGCCCTGTAAACAACCATAAAATGTTTGTGTGCGAGGGACCGCCGGGGTGACATCGGGATATATGTCGAGACGACCTGGAGTGGGGTTCGCCACAAGGGAGGGCGTTTTAATTTCAACCGCGTGTGTGCAATAAAACTTTAGAAAAAGATTCCTTATAATAAGTTCTATATTATGAAATAAGTAAGGCACCATAAAAGGTTAGTTTGAAATTGTTTATCTATTACCTATACCAAAATAAATATAGAACAAATGTCGTATATTTTGTATATTAAATATTTTAAATTAACTAGTAATTGTGGAACACATTTTTCGTATAAAAAATATCATCTTCTGATTCCTTTATGGATTCCCGTTTTCGTCCTCTTTGCGAGATGGCGAGAACGCGTGCCCGAGTGGGAGTCGGAACCAGGGGTGCAACGTAGTGTGTGTGCACTCTGTATAACACAAACACACACTCACACGCATTTGAGCTTTAAGGATCCTTTTATGAACAACGGATATACTCCCTATCGAATTATGCGTTTTGGTAACCAGCTTACACAGTGCTTTGCTTCCCTCTTCATATTTAGGTGTATCATCTTCATAAGTGTAGGTGTCGTTATTTTATGGATCAAAAAGCAAAAGGAAATTCGTACATTTTTAGAAGTTGAAGTATTGCACGATAGCAGGTTTGATAAGGGGTCTAGGGAAACAATAAGGTCATAACGTGGCCGCAACAGTGTCGCGTGGGGCGCAGCGCGTGGAACGCGGAAACTCCTGAGTCGCGCAAAAAGTGCCTATTTAGCTGTGAGTGAATAGCGACTTTAACTGTCCATTCAGTGGCGGCGCGCCGGCCACTATTCTAAACAATGTAGTCACTTGTGAAGGGTTTTCAATGAACTACAGCATTTCTAGAAACCGCTACGAATATTAAAATTCCTCGGGTCCGTCACCCGGCCAAACCAACCGGACGCTCATTGGCTACGATTTTATAGGTAGACAACGTTTCATTTTCTTGCGTTGTCAAAATTTTCTCAATTCGTTGTAATTTTTTCTCTATCTCTATTTAGTAACGCAACTCTCAAAATTCCATATAATGTGGATGTACCATAACTAGTAATTACTTTGCAAGTACTTACACCCACAGAATTTAAATCAGAATGCAAATAAAAATGTAGGTCAACACAAATAGCTTTTACATCATGTATTTAGTACAATATGGTTCGGAGGTTACGTACGAATTTGAATTAAAAAATGACATACTCAAATGTATGTTTATTTTATTAAAATTGCTATACGTATATTTTGCTTTTATTAATGTTTATGCGAACCTTTTTGCTACGATAATACTTTATTGATATAGGGCGTATCAATTTCATCGTTGAACCTCATACAGAAAGTCGCGGTTGCACTGTATAGGGGCTTTCAGCGGGCGGTAAATTTGAGTGAAGCAGGCAGAACGTCCGGGTTTGAGCTCAGTTTTACTGCCGGAGGGAACTTGTATTTATGACCCGTACTGAAAGAGTCAATAGCTATGGAGCAAATTATTGTAACTCCAGGTACAGCCCGAGCGTTACCGTGGGAACCGTCCGCGCTTGTTCTGCTGCGCACACACATACACATTCGCACATGCGCATATTATTCCTGCCTGTTAGTACTCGCACACTCATTACATAGAACAGGCACCATATAGGCACTTTTCAACAGCCTCCCTCTACGCCACTAACAACTCTCAAGCAGGAAGTGTTTTATTTTCCGATTCATCTGTATGCCTTGTTTGTCGATCTTACTGCGGGAACTTTTTAGCAAGTGGGATGCAATAAATTTATCCTTCAAACCTTAAAATCAGTCCGGTAAAAGGTGCGCACATATCTGCGAATTGAATAGATATATCAATTGCGGCTCCCTCCGTCTAGACGCGCTCCGCAAGTCACCTTCGCCGGGAGGGTGAGGGCTGCGGGCGCAAGTCGCTCAACACTACCTATTTATTTGCTCTACTGAGAGCACCACGTGTTTCGGACGTGAAGAGCTATTCACATTGACGACGTGCGGAAAGGAAACCTACTTCAAACTGCATGTTCTTCCCAACATTTCAATAAAATGTGCTCTAGATCACAAAATTATTGAAGAATATTTTGTGAAAAGGAAATTGCTATTAACTTTTGAGAATTCGGTTGTCTCAATTACATATCAGGCAAACAAGAGCATTAAAAAGCGTCGAATCACAAAATTTTCAAAGAATGTTTATAACAAGAACAAGTATAATGCTTTTATAATATTCGAATTTGCCTTATCTGTGAGTGAGACAACTGAATTCTCAAAAACACAATAGGAACCTACTTCCCAAGCATAATTTGGCATACCGTTTGGTCCAGCGATGCGGCGTCAGAAACTAACAGTTAATCCGATTAAATAAATGTAAATGTAAAATGCATGCAGATGAGAGGCTACTAATGTAATTTTGTTGTTTTTGATAACTGTAACAAAGTGACAGTGATGAGCAATGCAATAAGTTTACTGCCGGCTACGTGAAAAGTAAAGCTACGAAGTGCTACGCAATTGCTCTATTTGACGATATCATGGAACTAAAGAGTAGTTAGTGCATATGCAGAGTTGATTTAACAGTTCAGTTAATGTTGTCGTTGAAAATGGCTGTTGTGATTGGATCGGATCGGAAGGGCGTCGTAGATAGTGCGCTGTCGATCGCGACGACGGCTGCGGCGGTGGGTCGGTGGCCTGACATGCGGCATGTCCGAACCCGCCGTTGCCCAACATATAATTTCGGAACACTGCAACCGCAGCGAGCATTGACACCAATTTCTTGAACATTGGACAATCTCCGCGATCGGGAAGCCTTATTATGCACTATCTTTTGTCAGAGCTTATGCGTCTGCGATACTTTTTTTATTATTACTGTGATTTGATCGTTTTTACAGTTATTTACTGTTACTAATGTCTGTACTCATTTCAGTAGTAATTTGGTTGCTACTTAAAATAATAAACTACTGGAGAAACATGAAGGTATAATGCTAACATTCGAAAAACTCTTCTACCAGGAACATACTGCGCTTGGAACTAAGTATGCTACAAGTCATCCGTTGCCACAGAGATTGAGCCGCGATGACCGTGGGTCACTCGGCAGGAGGGCCTATGTGCGACTCGCTCCACCTATTTCGCCAATACTACGCGGACGCATCTCCACACCGCCACTTCCATATCTGTTTGGTGCTATCGAGCCTTGACAACAAGCTCGAACTTGTAACACAAATATATAGGATCGATTAGTGAATTTGTACGTGATATGAAAGCTAGAGAGTTGCTATGCCATCGGTGCGCGCGCGCCTTTCGCACAATGCGCTCACGTACGCATGTCGCGATTATCGGTCGTCGTATATTACAAGTGATTAGCATAGAAGTCGTGAACATGGCGACGGCGAGTCGTTATTAGATTCGGCTACACGGCGACGCTACATCGTTATTAGGCGATAATTATTGTCGTTGAAATACATAGCGGTCGATTAACGGCAGTGTCGGATGGACAAGTACATCCTCGTACATACTAAACAGTAACAAAGTGTTGCAGTCAATTTTATGCATGTAGAGCGGCATCATGTGAATATCATTAAACTTAAGTCTGAACTTTAATTGCTTTTAGCATTTTTGTGCGGTCGAAGTGAGTTCGTTAAACAAATTATAACGGTCTTGATTTCGCGAAAGATTGTATCGTATGACATAAAACGCGGTGTTATCTTTATGTGTGCAAACTATGTAAGAGGACCGCGGGATATAATAAAAAGCACATTTTATTGATAATGTCACCTAATGAGATTCTGTTCATTCGCAATTTAAGAATCTAGATGTCATTGGTACGTTATTTTACGTACCATAAATGACATTCACTTAACACATTTAGGTACTTGTATTTCATTTGTTTAATTTTTTGTTTTGATTTCTTACTAATACAGGATCTTTTAAATATATACGCACGCA